CTAAAAGTATAACATTACCTAGAGTTTCAAAAACCTAAAAGTACAACATTACCTAGAGTTTCAAAAAACTAAAAGTATAACATTACCTAGAGTTTCAAAAAGGTAAAAGTATAACATTACCTAGAGTTTCAAAAAGCTAAAAGTATAACATTACCTAGAGTGTCAAAAACCTAAAAGTATAACATTACCTAGAGTTTCAAAAAGCTAAAAGTATAACATTACCTAGAGTTTCAAAAAACTAAAAGTATAACATTACCTAGAGTTTCAAAAAGCTAAAAGTATAACATTACCTAGAGTTTCAAAAAGCTAAAAGTATAACATAACCTAGAGTTTCAAAAACTAAAAGTATAACATTACCTAGAGTTTCAAAAAGCTAAAAGTATAACATTACCTAGAGTTTCAAAAAGCTAAAAGAATAACATTACCTAGAGTTTTTCTCGGTCAAAAACAAAGCAGCCATGTACACCATCGAGCAGTTTTCAAAATAGCCCATGTACACCATCGAGCAGTTTTCAGAACAGCCCATGTATACTGTCGGGCAGTTTGAGAATAGTCCATGTACATCGTCGGGCAGTTTTTTGTTACCATATCAAAAATTCGGTAATGGAGCCAGTCAACTCTGGGTGATGGATGGTACAAAGTTCTCACACTCACTATTATAATTGTTTATTGATTAATTATAATATAATTGTGATTTAATAAGCTAAAACCGTTGTCATGTGCGTAATGCCAAATGTATACTCTATTATATTATATATTTGATATTATTTATTACTTCAAATATTTGACAAATTCCTTTTACTACAAACAATTAAAAATCGCTACATTATGAAAGTGATTATTCTGTTTCTTCTGTCTAAGTTCGTCGATCCATACATGAATTGATAATCAGTAGAGCTATATTTAATTTATCACGAACAGCCAACACAGTTTTAATGAAAGAGATATATGTGTACCTTATCTATAACTATCTCGATTTTCTTCGAAAATAACAAGATGGCCATCCAGAAAGGGAAAGGACGATAGTATCCTAGGAAATTCATGTCTCATTTTCTTTAACGAGGCCGATATAAGAGATTTTTGAACGGAACTAACAACAGAGCTGACCATAAAGCTTAACTGTATCATCCTGGTTCCAACTTAATCTATTTGATGCAAGATTATAAAGTATTACGAGTTTTTCTAAAGAGCAGTAGTTTGATCGATTTTCGAGTCGTACGAGAATTCAGAAAGTTATAATACACATATACACATTCTAAGTACCATCCAGATGTCAGCATTATGCACACACTATCTTCCAGTTTCGTTGTTTAAGTGCCAAGCAGGATCACTATGGAGAACAACGCGAAGAAAGAAAAGCTTGTAAATTTGCCGGAAGTTATTCGGAGGACAAGCTTTTACAATGATCAGTGACTTTTCTATGATCACAATAATCTAGGTGCGTGGTTGGAATTAATTACCAAATTAAGTCTGTTCAGTATGTTGTCGAGAGAATACCCAGGTATTTACATATAAATTTGAGTTAGAAACAGTTTATTTTCCCCCAACTGGAGCAGTGAACTAAGATATATGTTTTACAAACCGGATCACTTGTGTGAAAAACCTAACAAATTTACTGAGTTTTGAATTTTATATATTTTTTACTAAAACAAGAGGCCAAAAACAACTAAACAATCTTTACAAAACTAATATTTAAAATTTGGTCTGAAAGTATAGTCGTTTTAGTAGTTATATTACGTTATTTGAAGGAGGGTTAAGTTACGTGATGATGTTGTTTGAAGGAAGGTTATGTTAAGTTACGTGGCTATATTGTGTGAACGAGGATTATGTTAACTTACGTGATGATATTGTTTGAAGGAGGGTTATGTTACGTGATGATGTTGTTTGAAGGAGGGTTATGTTAAGTTATGTGATGATATTGTGTGAAAGAGGGTTATATTAAGTTACGTGATGATATTGTTTGAAGGAGGGTTATGTTAAGTTACGTGATGATATTGTTTGAAGGAGGGTTATGTTAAATTACGTGATGATATTGCTTGAAGGAGGGATATGTTAAGTTACGTGGCGATATTGTTTGAAGGAGGTTATGTTAAGTTACGTGATGATATTGTGAGAAGGAGGTTATGTTAAGTTACGTGATGATATTGTGTGAAGGAGGGTTATGTTAAGTTACGTGATGATATTGCTTAAAGGAGGGTTATGTTAAGTTACGTGGCGATATTGTTTAAAGGAGGTTATGTTAAGTTACGTGATGATATTGTTTGAAGGAGGGTTATGTTAAGTTACGTGGCGATATTGTTTGAAGGAGGTTATGTTAAGTTACGTGATGATATTGTGAGAAGGAGGTTATGTTAAGTTACGTGATTATATTGTGTGAAGGAGGGTTAAGTTACGTGATGATGTTGTTTGAAGAAGGGTTATGTTAAGTTACGTGATGATATTGTTTGAAGGAGGTTATGTTACAAGAGATGCTATTAAATATTTTGTGTTCGGGATAAGGGAACAAATTTTAATCTGTTCATATAGTTTATAAAACACAATCTTGCTAAAATTCGCTATTCTTTATAAAGAATATGTAGTTTAACGCTTTATTTTAATTTATTTTTTACTTCCATTTCCCTGTTAGCCTGGTATTAACTGCCTTTATTTATTTGTCTACAATAAGAAAATCTACACTTTCAGTACCTATCCTAAGTGTTTTTACTATACGTTTCTATAGGGTCAGTATGTCTTCAATTTATTGACATTGAGGTGAACAGTGTTGTACAAAAAGGCGACCCCTTGTGGTTAAACTGCACGTTTGATCAAGAATCTGACGACCTCTATTCAGTCAAATGGTACAAAAACAGTGTGGAATTTTACCGCTATCTACCGAAGGAACAGCCTCAGGCCCAGAGTTACGACCAGCCGGGCGTCTATATTGATGTAAGTCCTATTATTGTCCTTCTTCCATGGGCGTAAACTTTACCAAACATGTCTGTAGCTTGTTAACTTAAAACGTTTAATATCTTAATAATAATAATAATATATACATACTTTAGATAAACTATTATATTATATCATAAATATTACATATATTTACTTTATACTCTTAACACTTATGCCTGGCATGGCCAGGTGGTTAGGGCGCTCGATTCGCAATCTGCGAGTTCGAATCCCCATCAAGCTCGCCCTTTCAGCCGTGGGGGCGTTATAATGTAACAGACAATCCCACTATTCGTTGGTTAAAGAGTAGCCCAAGAGCTGGCGGTGGGTGGTGATGACTAACTGCCCTCCCTCTAGTTTTACACTGCTAAATTAGGGACGAATAACGCAGAGACCCCCCGTGTAGCTTTGCGCGAAATCCATAACAAACATTTTTCCAATATAATATTTATCTTTATTTTGTTCTGAAGCATTTTTTTGTAATGGAGCTTTCCAGTTCCTCCGTGGAACAGTGGTAAGTTTGCGGGCTTCCAACGCTAAAATCCGGGGCTCTATTCGCTGCAGTGGACGCAGCAGATAGCCCAATGTGACCTTGCTCTTCAATAAACAAACAAAATAAGGATGAAACCGAAAATATTAAACATAAACCAAGTAGAATGTTGTTGTTTTTTTTTTGGGGGGGGGGGGGTTTTTTTTTAGCTCTTAACCCAAATCCTGGCTATGTCCTTAAAACTAAGAAACACATCTATCTGTCTACACTAAAGGTCACACGTTTGTAATAGAAA